ATTTATCTTTTTCAAAGTGAATCGATCAATTATTCATCAATTATGCATGAATAATTTCATGAAATGAAGTATGAAAATTCAAAATGGTTTTAAATGTTAGTTCATTTATAATTATGAAAAGAAACAACATCATTATTATTTGTTTAAATGTAACAATAAGGATACGGTTAGACTGATATTGAAAAAGTGGTGTTTTAGCTATTGTAAAGTAGGGTTTATGAATGAAACAAGGTTAATTCCGGTTTACTTGCTATTGTTCACAATATTTACATAGGGTATCAGTTTTTATTACTTTTTAGAGATATGATGACAGTATGAATGTTAAACGAACATGACCTAAGATTTACAGAATTCGAGGTTTGAAAATCATGTCCTAACGTTGACCAATAATAAGTTTTATATATGATGATAAAGAATATTTTTCACTAGTTCATTATCTACAGTTTAAATTCTACAAGTAATCAAGTAAGACAAGAATAGATAACTAATGCAAACCAGGTTGCTCTAGACATCTATTTCTTTTTAGTATGGTTGAAGTTAGAGACATAAACTACTAAAATCTAACTCAGTGGTTCAGAGATTAGGGGCTCATCATGAGATTTAAATATCCTGGGTTCAATCTCCAATGGGCTCGTGGACGAGGACTGCTAGGGAGTCCCTAACTAGTACAAAACAGCTATCTAATGCTTCTTGGATTTCAATTGTTGTTTTGCTTAGGTCAATCCATGATTAATACAATAAAATTGAACATGGTCTACGAACCCCTATACTGATAAGTGTAGTTTAGTGGAAATATTTGCAATCATTGTCACAATTTTATAAATAAACACAATCTGTCTTGAAATTTGTAATGTAACCACTGATGATATGTACTGCCTCATTTCCCAGTTACCAAGACATTTCTCATAAGTAAAACATAGATTTCATTTGATAACAACTTTGATATTTTGTAGTTTTTATTCCAAAATTTAAAACAACAGAAAATTTGTGATTAATTCTATTTTAAGTTAAGTTGCTTGATTAATTTTTATCAGAAGGGGTCTATCGGTTAAGTGCTCTGGCTCGAGACTGGTAGATCCTGGATTCGAATCTCGCGGGGCGAGGTCGTGGATGCTGAGGAGTCCCACATTAGAACGAAACGGCCTTCTTTTGTTTCCAGGTTTTTCCTGGTGGTCTAGTTTCAATTGACTCACGCCTCGAACTTTGATTAATTTTTAGTTAATTCAAATAAAAATGTCATTTTGTTTATAATCTTGACTTTATAATTCCATCTATTAATTAATTATTGATTTCTTTATCAATGTTAAGTTGTGTCATGACAACAATTTTTTTTTCTAAAACCAGTTTAATGTTATACACTTTTGGAATCAAATACAAAATAAATAACTAAGTATTTCATTTCACTTGGTATTGTTTACTTGAATCTTCCTAATGATGTTTAGGATTGTAATTGATAAGTCTCTTATTGCTGTCCTAGACATCAATCGGAAGATTCAAACAAACAATACCATGTGAAATTAAACTTCACCCCTTTGCACAAGCAAGTGGCTATCAGGATTCAGTAGCTAAGTGGATAACGTGATGGCATTTGAAGCGAACAGTACTAGATTCGAGTCCTGAAGTAAACATCAACTCTGAGATCCAGGTATATCCAGCTGATGAGTCCCGAGTAGGACAAAACATGCGTCCTGGATTCTACTGCTAGCCACTATAAGTATTTCAATATTAATAATCTACGGTCATGGTAAAATGGTATACGTTAGTCTGAGATGACCTTTGTTAAAAGACCGGGATATAAATAGAGGCACAATGCCTGAAGTTGAAAGGAAATAAACTCTGAGACAAGATTTAAATTGTCAATTTTTTAAATTTTTCCTGTTAATGGTTATTCACTACATATGGAGTAGTGCTAGCAGCATTTACTGATCTTCAGCTTTAAGAATATTCTACCAGTTTCTTATAATCGAAGAGAACCCCATATCTTGTACTTATTGTTATATTCATTGTGCTTTTGCGTAAATAAGACTGTTGTTTTAAAGATGCGATCGCTTGCGTAAGTTTTCTTCTAAACAAATGTTTTCCATTTATCGAACGGTTGAAAATAGTCTTCTTCTCTACAATCAGTATGGACGAACATTATTTAATTTTCAAAGGAAAACAGATATAAAAATATTTTAGCAAAAAGGGTTTTGTGAAGATGATTGAGTATTATGGTTTGCATTACGAGCTGAAATTAGGTGGATGACAATCGAAACTCACGATCGAACGAACTACTGCTAACCCCTAGTAACTGACTCTTCAAGAGTACGCATCCATAACTCTATTTGGGATTAGGCTAATGACATTGACGTCTCGAATTGAGAATTTACTCTTTGAATCGTTGAGTCAACATTCTGCAATTTGCATGTCTAGCTGCAATGAATTTTGGAGATTGGACAATCATCTTTCAATACCTTCGGTGGATAACTGCCTTACATCGGACATAGTTAAACACCGCTAATCATGACTTCTTACTAAAACTTCGAGGATCATTTCTCAAATTAGTTACCAATGTATGGAATGACTGATGTTAGAAATGTAAATCACTGAATTCTGACTCAGTAGTTTGAAAAGCAAGTGATATAAACGAGACTTGGTTTTTTTTTAGTTCAATCCCCGGAAGGACGTGGATAGAGATTGTTGAAGAATCTCATACCAGGACGAAACAACAGATTAGTGCTTTTTGGTGTTCAAAAATTGTCTAGCTACGATGCAAACCATAATATATAAATATTATGTTGAGTAATGAAAACATATCGTAAAAAGACTGCTTTTCACTATTCCCTTTTGTAAATTGTTTGCATAATGTATGAGGTGGTATGACATTAACTAGTAATTAGATTTGATAGCTTGTCAACAGTTTTATCATTTTAAGCAGAGATGGATAGTGGCTAGCAGTGGAATCCAGGACGCGCGTTTCATCCTATTTGGGACTCGTCAGCTGGATGTACCTGCATCTCAGATTCAAACAAGCAATACTAAATGAGTTTTATCATTTGTTATAAATTATTTTAAAAGATGGGCCGGAGATATTTTTATTTCACTAAGACTGGATTTCTTCATATTCTACTTGGAATAATTAACTCAATCATATGATTGAATTAATAGTGAACAAACAGATCATTTTATGGATAATAATGATTTACTGGTTTCCTGAGAGCTTAACATGTATTGACTGGAAATCCAGGACTGTACTAACGAGTTGAATAAAAATAAAAATTTAACAACTTAAAAATCTATATGCTGATTTACATAATTTGTAAAGGAATGTATACAAAGAATAATGATTTTTTCAATCTGACTAATCAATAATATAAAAATGAGGATTTATGTAGATTGTAGTAGTTTTAATAGTTGAATCCATGAGATGATTTAAACTAGACCACCATTGAATGGACACTGACTCAGTAGTCTAGATGTTAAGCGTTCGCGCGCGAGACTGGAGGTCCTGTGTCCGAGTCTCTTTGGTATGGGATGGTGAATGCTCACTTCTGAGGAGTCCCGTATTAAGACGAAACGGCCGTCCAGTACTTTTAGGTTTTCAACGGTGGTCTAATTTAGGTCGACTGATGAATTCAATTAATTATCTATAATAATGTTAACTAATTTTTGGTTAGTCACATTAGACCATTTTAATGAAGAAACTTTGCTTTGACAGCAAGAAAATAATATATGCCTGTTAATTTACAAACCTAGGAACGCTAAATATCAATATTTTAAAGTGATCTCAAAACTGACAGCTAGAAAATTCATAATCCAGCAGTTTCTGAGACATTTTCCAATGTTCATTAATCAAATGAATTTTAAAATCTACCTTTGTTTATCTGACCTCTCTAAAATTGATTTCTCCTTTGTACAGGAATACCAATGGATGAGTATCAGTAGATAAAAGAAAATTGTTGATCAAATACATTTAAAAACACGTACTTGGCTATGGATTCTAATATTTTGGGTTAAATATAAGACACAACACTTAAATTCCTACATTTCGTATGCTTTCAAAATTGATCATCTTGATTTTTCTTATCTAAAGATAGTTCGATTCATGCATGATACTTGATTAGCTCTCAAAACAATATAGAATTTTATAAAATTTTATACTTCAGAATTGAACTTAAACAATACATTGATAGGACAAAACCGCCGTCCAGTGCTTCCAGGTTTTCCATAATGGTATATCTTCAATTGACTCATGATCTCAACTATATAAAATTACTAAAATCTCCACAAAACCCCTTCTGATAATAATCATATGCACACTAGTGACTACCTTCATGAGGTATTTCATGGAGTTCTAGTGAGAAGCAGTGACCAATGGAGTTCAACCAGGTCTGTTGGGAGATATTAACTCACTGAAAACATTGGTTAATGGTTGCTCGATTTTGTGGATTGGTTGAAGTTAAATTTTAACACCGTTGGATGCCGGCCAGCTCAGTGGTCTATTGGTTAAGTGCTCGTGCGTGAAACTGATAGATTCTGGTTTAGAATCTCGTTATGCGGGATCGTGGATTCGCATTGTTGAGGAGTCCCACAATAGAACGAAACGGCCGTTTGGTGCTTCCAGGTTTTCCATAGTGGTCTAGTTTCAATTGACTCATGATTTCAACTATATAAAATTACTAAAATCTCCACAAAACTCCTTTCTATACAAGAATTCTGAGAAATTTTACTATAAATCAATGACTACTAGTCCATATTGTGTGATATATGTAACTATAAATTAATATTCTTAAATCATTCAAATGATCTCCATGTAAACAATTTAGGTCCTTCAAAACACCTGATTTGTTCTTCTATAGGTTAATAAGTTTTATAAATAATAAATCATATCAGTCTGATATCAACTATTCAAGGTTAGTGTAACCTTCACTATGAACAAATACTATTGGTTATAAAATGAATCTATTTGATTGGTTACATTTTTTTTTTGTTTTTTTAATAAAAAACTGTATTAATTATCCAATTGTATTATTGCCTTGTCAATTATTGTGTATAAGGAATTATTTCAAACAAATTGTTTACATATTATATCATATTCATTCATAGTTTAACATTGATTCATAAGTGAAAATTTATGGTAAGACGTTACTTTGATATTAATGATTACTTAATTTTATTTTTATAAATAATCAATTGAAGCGGGGGGGGGTTTGTGGAGATTTTAGTAATTTTATATAGTTAAGATCATAAATCAATTGAAACTAGATCACCATGGAAAACTTGGAAGTACGAAATAACCGTCCAGTGCTTCCAGGTTTTCAGTGGTGATTAAGCATTAATCGATTCATGACCTCAATCAAAACCATAATAATCTCTACAATCCCATACCATATGCTCACTTGTGACTAATTTCGTGATGAAATCCTCAGAATTCCAGTAAGAAGCCGTGACTAATGGAGTTAATAAATTTCAGGTAGAGACAGGTATTTACCTCAGTAGAATGGAAGATGGTCTCGTAATTTCGTGGATTGGTTGAGGTTAGATATTAGCACCGTTGAATGCCGACTCAGTGGTCTGGAGGTTGAGCGTTCACGCGCGAGACTGAAAGCCCTGGGTTCTAAACCCGAGTGCGAAATCTTGAATTCTCACTGCTGAGGAGTCTCATACTAGGACGAATTGGCCGTCTAGTACTTCTAGGTTTTTAATATTGGTCTAGCATCAGTTGATTTATGATCTCAATAAAAAAATTAATCACAATATTCGACAAATGAGATCACTATTTCGCTTCATTTTATTACAATATTAGTACATAATTTTTGCTATTCAATGAACTTTAAATATGATTTAGAAGGTTTACTGATAGAAATATTTTCTATAAGTTTATGTTTGAGAAAAGACCCCATACAAAGACATAAAAATAAATAAGCCAAGACTAATTTATCACTATTTAATAAATTGACATAAACTGCCAGTTAGATATCTTCAATATCTATGCACTTATTAAGCTGAATCATTTAAAATGTAGGAAAAAAGTGCACATTTCTACATTAAAGAGAAATTTATTCAGTCATTGTTGAACTGAGATTATTTTTAAAGAAAATGTTCAACGCTTAACGTTATGAATCCACTTAGTATTGTTTGTTTGAATCTTCCCATGGATGCTTAGGATTGCAACTGCTTAGTCTTTTATTGGTCATATGTGCATACTGTGCGTATTGCCTCGATATAGCCTTAATTCACAAGCACTGTAAGCAAATATGGATAGTGGCTAACAGTGGAATCCAGGACGCTATTATTATTATATTATATTATGTGATATGTATTTGTCTACTGTGTATACGGTTAATGATAATAGAATATGAGTAGTTTGGATTTAGTTAGTGTATATTTCTTTTTAATATGAATCGTATTTTATAAATTTCATTTCGATCTATTCCTTTCCTTACTTAACTTTAAATTGAAATATATTTGACTGTAAGTTTTGATACTATATCATAAAAGTGACTATCAGGACTCAGTATCTGAGTGGATAACGTGATGGCGTTTGAAGCGAAAGTTACTGGGTTCGAGTCTCAGAGTGAACATCAACTCTGAGATGCAGGTACATCCAGCTGACGAATCCCAAATAGGACGAAACGCATGTCCTGAATTCCGCTGCTATCCACTATCCATCTTTGCTATATCATAAAAGTTTTTATTAACTTTCTTTTGAAAATATATATGTATTGATTTGCAAATGGTTGATCGCTGTATAGTTACCAATATCATATTTATCTAGTCCTTTAGGGTCGATCGAATGCTATTGATCAGAATGTAATATTTATCACCAATCTAAGTAACTCACGATTATAGTTACGACGTTTAGGTGTTAGATAGTTGAAGGTTGTCTTTAAGAAGCTCTGTTTGACCTGGGGTTTATAATAGTTGGTACTCGTAAATAAGTTGTAGTTGAAATCTTGAGGGAAGTGATGCTTGCGCTAAGAACCAAAACCGAATCATCCAGCTTTGTAGTCCGGAATGTTACCAGTAAGTATTTCGGAAACAATACTGAATGGGTCCTGGATTTCATTGCTAGCCACTATCTATCTTTGCTTATAAAGCTTATGACTTCAGGCAATATCGAGGCAATCCGTACAGGATGCACATATGCCAATAAGAGACTGATCAATTGCAGTCCTAAATAACAATTGAAAGATACAAGTATACAACACCAAGTGATTACTGGATTGAACTTTAATTTAATCATTAGATATTTTATAAATGATAGTCAAATTTCAGTTATTCACTTGTGTTTATTCTTTACAAAAATCGGGCAAGTTATATGGAAACCTTCATTTGTTTTGATATATCAATAAACTGTAACAAGAAAGTCTTCTATTCCAATAGCTTATCTACATCTTAGTTAGGCGTAGAAAAGAATAAATTTTACACCTTAACCTTTAACAAGAATAACCTAATTTGTTTTATTAAACTTATGGAAAAGTTATAAATTCAATAAATTTCTATTTGATTAGATTATTGAACTAGGCAATATAGATATATATATATATCTATATGAGGTGAATTAAGAAATCGATAAATCTTTATGAGCATATACAATATATTTTCATTGTTTTGTTTTTGTTTTTTATTTTTTATAGTTTGATAAGATTTAGTTACCATTGAAGTACAATTTGTTCTGTTTCTTGTTGTTTTGGTTGTTGTTGTCATTTTATGTCATAAGAGTAACACTTAATTGTTGATTATACATTCAACATTTTTGTTGTTGTTGAATGTTGATTTAATGCTGAAATCAACACAAATGGAGTTTGTACTTGTTTTCCTGTATACTTATAAATTAAGGATGAGTATTTAATGGTTTTTAAAGTATCTAAGGAAATAAAAAGTAGGTAAATTGATTAAGATAAGAATTTATTTGAAGATAAGTTTCATTTTATATGAATACATTATCATTTTATTTTATTTAAACACAAATATTGGTACAAAGAGTCACCAGATATATATGCGCCACACGAATCAAATGAGATTTGTGTGAGAGCTGTGATACTGCCCAGATGCCCAAACTGAAGCAAGTGGTTTCCTTAGGGGGCCACACCCTGAGCCTTTGACCTAAAGATCTGATCCACAAGGCAGTGGAGCACCGTAAGGAGATGCAGTCCCATGGTAACCGGTGACCAACGATTGATTCATACACCATTTGTTCCTTCAGGATACTGGAACCCATGTGCACCATTTGTTTGGAATCAATGTTTTCCGACTCCCCTAGATGGACTTTCTGTGTCCACTAATCCGGTTTAAGCGACAGACATTCGCTTTTCGTCCTCTCAATTTCGTAAACAACACCCGCGGTGCGAGAATGTAATGAGTAGGACTTCCACGGCAGGGGCTATATACTAGTGGCCATGTGAGTGCATTTAGAGAGGGAGAGCGGACTCTCCACACTTTCGGCCGTACAAGGGCATTTGGGGGCATATGAATATATTAGATGTTGAATAATTAGGATCTAAGAAGCATTAGGAACTTCACAGATCTTCTTTAGAATATATATATAATTCTTGTGATGTGTACAGTTCTTTTAAATAGTTGATTTGAAATTCAATTATCAATAAATTATTTCAACTACAGTCAATATTTTACAGAGGATAATTTATATTCAATATCATTCAATATTATGATTTGAAAGGTTACAGCTTTCAAGCAAAAGTTTTGGAAATATGTTTTAAAGTTGATCATTATTAGGTAAATGATTATTAGAATGTCTTGCTTGTTGTACTGTTTCACTTAAAGGTCACAGGTTTTATGTCATCTTAGTTGACGATTCTCACTAAAGAAGAATTTCAACAAAGAATAAAATATCTATCCAGGAACACTTGGTTATCTATAGTTTTTCAGTTTATGACTGTCAGTTTATTATAGAGTTTCAAGACTATTCTTTATACCATAGATAGTTTATTTCGCGTTGATGTTCAAAGTAAAACGACTTACTATAGCTTGTTTTGGGACTGAAGGAAGTTGTTGATGAGAATTTCTTTGAAATTATACAAAATTTCTCGGAAATGACCTAAATTATGGACAATTTAAAATTGTTATGTAAATGATTCCATTGTTTACATCTGTGTATAGTGTCAGTACATCAGTCATTCATATAATGAATGATAGTAACAAAATATATAATACGTAGAAACAAATTACTCATATCTGTACATTAGGTTCTTTAATTCATATATGAATTACGCAAATTTGATCTTTATACTTTGAAAGTAACTTATTAACTTAATTGTACTGACGGATATTATAAAACTTTAAGCACTAACAAAAGAACTGATCTCTTGAAAAAACGTAACTTGTAATTTGACAATACAATTATATAAAAATAAACCAAGCAAGAGGGTAGTTTTACATTGGTTTTCAAGGAAACCAGACATTTATACTAAGGCTCGAACAGAGCAACTCAATTCTGTGGCTTAACCGCACGAGTAGCCAGAACCCTGGTTGACTATTCGCTTTATATATATACTATTTCCGATCAATCATTGCATCTATCAATTATGAACAGCATAAACAGATAAATTTTGAATTGTCACGCTTAAATAACTTAAACTCACTATTATCAGCAAAAGATATATGGATTATAAGGTACCGATGACAATAGCCCTTGAGTGTACTGAAAAGCAGTCACCAATATCAATGAAATCGGTTATCCGACAAACCAATTTGGGATATGAATTGTCAGAGAAATCTGTCATAATAATGCCAAATCATAAACAATATTCATAGTGAATTTCCAGTTTTACAAAAAACATTCAGCTCTACATAACAATATACCCTATGCTATATACATGTGGGATAGGGTATTAAGCGAGACAGCCTAGCTTAAAGCAATAAAGTTCAAACACACTTAAGACCCATTGTTCATGTCGGTATATCATTATTAAGCCATCGAAACCATTATTTTTTAAGAAAACGTTGAATTCATGAGTCGATCTAAGTTAGATCATCATTGGAAACCTGTGAGTACTGGACAACCGTTTCGTCCTAGTATGTAGTATGGGACTCTTCATTAGGGCTTATCCACGATCTCACATACAGGACTCGAACTCAAAACTTTAAGTCTCATGCGCGAACATTTAACCTCTA